GCTTCCCTTGCCAGGAGCCTGGCTTGGCTTCAGTCACATGATAGGAAGTGGGAGACAAGAGTGGCAGCCGAGAGCAAAGGAGTCTGAGGGGAGGGAGATGATGGAAGATTGAAAGGGAGGGTTCAAAGGCCCAGACCTCCCCCTGGAAATGGGAGGGGAGATCAGGTGAGAAGGGGTGGCTGCCGATTTTGTTTTGTTTTGTTTTTTGGAGTGGTTGCAGGCGGGGAGGGGAGATATTTGGGTGGGGAATCTGGGCAAGTGGAGATCCTGGACCTTCCCTCAAACAGACTCCATTGTACAGTAGTCAGATTGCAATGCAATGCAATGGAAGGTTCTAGAATCTAGATGCTTCTCCCTCCCAAATAATCCCCTCGTGTGTCTCCTCTCAATTCCTTTGGAGGGGAAAAGGGGAGCCAGCTTCTCCCAAGGGTGCCTAGGCTCCAGTCAGGGACGTGGGGAGCCCCTTTCCCTTTTGCCCCTCAATGCGCTTCGGGGGGATGGTGAGTCTCCCCAAGGATTTGGGGTCGGGGGATCCTGGAGGAGGAAAAGAGGCAGCGAGAGAGGATCTCTTCCCCTCCTTCATGTTGTCCCCCAAAGTTTGGTTTCCTGATGCCAAGCCTTGCAGCCCCCCTCCTCAGCCGACCACACGACCACCGACAGAAGCTGGCTCGGTTGTCCGTTGACGGGGAAGAGGAGCCCATCAATAGGATTTTCCCAGGGCTCCTCCTCCTCCTATGCTATGAAGTCAGTTCTGACATTTGGTGACCCTTTTCAGGGTTTTCTAGGAGGAGAATACACCGAAGTGGAGTCCCCTTCCCTTCTTCTGGGGACACCCTGGGATTGTGTTGCTCCCCCAAGGCTACCCAGGCTGGCCAGAAAGGCGGGAGGCACAGAGGGGGAATCGAACTCCCAACCTCCGGCTCCCCAGCCAAGCGCCTGACTCACTGAGATGTCCAAACAGCTCTTTCTCGGAGACCCCCTAAATTAGGACCAATGTTGTCGTGTTTAGGTGTAAGAGAGATGAACTGAGCACTCAGCAGGAGATGGAGGAAGAGGAGAGGGGAGCTGTGGCTGGCGGCTTTTGTCAATTGCA